CCTCTGCCATGTGCTGCTCTGCGTTGGACCCAGCTGAGTATGGACTGAAACCTCCAGTAACTGTGAGCTAAATAAACCTTTCCTTCCTTCATTGTGAGTGTCGGGTATTTGTCCCAGCAACGAGAGAAGAGTAACTAAGACAGAGGGACACTGGCCCTTCTGTGGTGTGCAGGCAGAGGCTCGCAGAAGGAGTAACGGATTCTGATAACAGGTAGCCCAGGTCACCCTCAGGGGTAGGGAGCTATGGGCAGGGCACACAGTCCTATTGCTGTGCTTCAGAGGCTGCAGGTCAGCTCCTGAGCCGGCCCCATCTGCTTTGCTTACAGCCAGGGCGTGCGTAGAGCGTCTTCCCAGCCAGCTGTGTAGGCCTCAGCGCGCGGAGGTCGGGAGGAGGTGAACGCAATGGCGACAAAGGGTCTTCTTTTGGGGGGAGCCATACCAGGGCTCCACCACACTTACTAGCAAAGCGGGTTTAACACAAGATACATTAATATATAAGGATTTACAGAATAGGCTTACAATGGCCAGCCATTCAGGTGTGGAAAAGGGCAAAAGGGCCGTGCACATGCTGGAGTGCTCTGCATGAGCCCACCACCGGAGGCTGAAGAATCTACGCCGGAAGCCAGGAGAGGATGGCAGGGAGCAGAGTTCCTCCGGAGAAACGCCAGCAAGACTGCTCCGTTTCCTTGTTACTCCATGCAGGCCGCAAGCCTAACTGGAGCAGGTCTCTGTCTTCAGTAAACCCCCTCAGCGACACGCAGAGCTCCGCCCATCCAGTAGTGGGCTATTTCTTACTCAAGTTGACACCATCAGCCAGTTGTCACAAGGGTAATGTTTTTTCTCTCATATTCTCTCTGGATGCCGAGCATCACATTCAGATTCTCTATCATTTATGGCAGTCCAGAGAATTCATTCTTACAATCATATCCTCCTTGCCACAGGGGGATGATATATCTCCATTGGTTTAGGCCAATTACAAACAGGCAAGGATGCTAGGGATTGTAAAATGAGATTTTTCTTAAGTTGTCTAGTTTTTCCATTTTATTGAGCTATATATATATTTTATTTTATTGAGCTATGTATAACAGAAATAAAAATTCTATAAAGTTAAAACATATGACGTGGTGTGGCATATATATAATATATGGACCGGAATGATCACTACACTCTACACATTCTAGCCATCATCTCACATATTTTTTTAAATTCACAATCTTTTATTTTTAAGTCAACAGAAAATGGAAATACACTTTTTTTGTTTTTGTTTTTTTAATAAAAAAACATAAAAAACATTTGTTTATTGATAAACAAATAGCAATGAGAGGAAATATACTTTTTAAGTTTCTAATACTAGAATATATCATATGATGTCTTTTAAATAAATTGTAAGTCAAAGATATAGTATAAATCTTAGAACAAAAGTTAAGATTAAGCAATACTCAGAAAATTAAATGCTAATTAAAAATTAAATGTTTCAAAACAATTGAACTAAGAAAAAGTTTTCATGATAGCAAAGAAGTACTGAGAGTAAAACATAAGATAAATACTGGAATGGCAAATAAATGACCAGCACTTCTAACAGTTTGAGGGTAGGATATCGCACAAAGTTCTAGTGTGTTGTAGACATGCATAATGACCATGACAGT